TTAAGGATTTTGGCAACACCAAAAATTGCAATTTTTAATATAGTTTATTGACGTTGAAAATGGTTAAAATCGAGTTTTTTCGAACAGAAAATCATTAATATCTTGAAAACGGTAGATTTTAGAGAAAAGTTGCATAGAAACTTTTTTATTCAGGATACCCCAAAAAGCCTATATATATATATATGTCCCACCTAAATCATTTTTAAAATCATCGAACCAATCTTTAGTGTCATATTTTTGTCCTCGATCGGATTGGAAGAAACGAATCGCATGTATTATCGATACCAGAACATCTTTTGGATTCCTTGCGCAGTAGATGACCTGAAATAATAACTTACTTTAATTTTATATTAGCAAAGTTAAACATGTGTATACTTTGGCGCCAACTTCAAAAATATGCGGAGGCATTAGACTAAGCGGCAGATGGCATTTCAGAAATCTTCTTCCTTTCCTCTGAGACAAGCCATCCACGGTCAGTTCTACATATTCTCGAGCAATATCCAAAGCTTCTTCGTCCACGTCGTTCTTCTCTAATATTTCCTTCATTTGTAGTAGATGGGGAAAAAGACATAAACTAAAAAAGTAATTGCATAGTTAATGATTAATGAAATCTAATTTTTTGTCACTGAACTTCACTCACTCTAGATGTGGAAATCTCTGTGAAATATAACTNCACTAGAAAGGTCAAATAATATTATAAAATAAGAAATATTTTGAAGTATAAGGCAAAATTGATTGTAAAGAAAGTAGAATAGGGTGTATAAGTGCAAAGGAGAAAGTGAAGTGAAGTGAATTACAAAAGGAAAATGGCACGTTAAAAGATATGTGGAAAGGCCTTTAGAAGGAAAAGAAAAATCAAGATAGTAAAAAAGAAAATAGATTATTATTGATTAGTTACAGAAATAATTTTGAAAAACGACAGTTGTTGAAGAAAGAAAAGAAAACCTATAAATATAAGCAGTTAATAAGCGAGAGAGTGTAAAAAGATTCAAGTGGGAGAAATCAAGAATTTAAAAGTACCAAGTGGTAAAATAAGTGACCCAAGAAATACGAGACAAGCGGAGCACCAACAAACAAGGTCCAGGAAGACAGAAATAACGCGGAATAGCAGTAGCAGGTTCCAGAGGCCAGTAAGAAAACGGAATATCAGTAGCAGGATCCAGGAGAGCAGTAAGAAAACCGCATATCAGTAGCAGGGACTAGGAGACCAGTAAGAAAGCAGCATAGTCGACAGGTTCCTGAAAGGAAGCGAGATAGGATAGTCAAGAATTAAGGAAAACAATCAAGCAGAGCAAAGGAGACAAATCAGTCGACAAGTCATTATCGATAATACGTATAAAAGGTACCTTTATAATAAAAGTAAAATTCGTATACGAAATAGCTTGATACAGATTTTCAAAAGTAAGAAGTTAGTATATAAAAAGTTTAGTAAGTCACTAATTTCATATTAAACAAATTTATTTAACTATATCAGACATAATCAAAATTGGCCAATCTTTGTAAAATTAAATATTAATCTTAGAAAAAATAACCAGTTGTTAAACAAGAAGTTATAAGATAAAATGTCAATGTCTTAATGTATGCAACCAGTCATACATGAAATTTAATTATAACGGTCTTATCGATATAACATCTTGTTTAAGGTTTTGTAAATTGTGTGAAATACTTCAAAATATTGACTATTGTGTTTAACAGTTTTTATTGACAAATTTTGACATATAGATAACAAAACAATAATAAATTCATTTATTAATAATCCTTTTGTATTTATAGCTGTGATTGTGTGTGGTTTCTTGCTAAAGCATATAGTGAATAGAACCGACTACTGAGAGGAGTCTAGAGCTAGGTAGGGCAAAGGTATACAACCACCAATACACCAAAACCAAATTGATATCCCAACAATAATTTTTTTTTTGGCGCTAACATAAACACTCATCCACACAGTATTATAACAATATATATATATAAAGTCAAAGTCAATAAAAACAACCAACAGACCAGTCAAAAACAATGCAAAAATTAAAAAAAACATCTTTACATCTCATACACTACAAAAAGTAATATCAAAACCCTCCATATTATTACAATTGCTCAACATTTGATATAAAGACGACTTTAATAATAAATTCGTAAGGGCAAAGGGTAACATAAATAGAGTACAGTTCCTAGAATTCACTCTATATGACAATTGCTTGTTAATGGACTCGCACTTAATTTTGAAGTGAATAATTTTATATAAAAATATTAAACTGTGCATGGTACGTCTGCTAGTAAGACTCTGTAGGTTAAATCCAGCACAGAATAATTCTTGTGGAGTACCTCGAGCAGGATAAGCCCCAACCAACAGAAACGCGGCAGATTTAAAAAAAATTCGTTGGACCCGTTGTAATAAGAAGGTATATGTAACATAAATTGGGTTCCATATTACTGAACCATATTCTAATTTAGATCTTGCAAAAGTTGTATACAATAATTGCAGAGTGGACTGGTTTCTGAAGTCTCGAGAGTTTCTCAAAACAAACTGGAGACTCCTATACGCATCGGCTAAGGAACCGTGGATATGCCGCAAGAAACTCAACTGTGCATCAAAAATAATCTCAAGGTTTTTAATACAATCAGGCCTCTTGAGAACACTACAAATACAACAATACAAATCGAACGTGATAGGCACTTTTTTCCTATGAAAAGACATACCATTACACTTGCTAATATTAAGAGGCAACGTGTTTTTATTACACTAATCATTAAGTGAAGCAAGATTACTCTGAAGATTCTCACAGTCCAAAATAGACTTGATCTGACCAAATATTTTTACATCATCAGCGTATAATAAATAATGAATGTTTAGATCTTCCGCAATATCATTAATAAAAATATCAAACAGAAGAGGTCCAAGTATGGACCCTTGAGGTACACCTGATGTTTGAAGAAACGTATCTGATTTGAACCCACGATATTACACATATTGGGATCGGTTACGGAGATATGAATGAAATAATTTTATTAAACCATTACGTAGACCTACGTTGCTAAGTTTATTTAACAGTTTGGGGTGATCGAGTCTATCGAACGCTTTAGAAATAAATTTTAATGTCAAGTAGACAGTAGTAAATAATTATTTGAAATAAAAATTACCCTCCGCAGATAAGGCAGATTATTTTGTATGACTGGATTGTCCAATTTAATATATTTATAGTCATTTATTTTGATTTTTAATACATTTAAAAAATTGAATTGTCGTAATAAACTTGACAAAATGTAAATTCACAAAAATCAAAATTCTGTTGATAGTCCAGTCATTATAGACATGGAACAGCCTGTTTCGGGAAAAAAATACTATTAGAAGTTTTTCTGCGGAATATTGTTCGGAAATGTGTTATAAATAAAATATCAAAAAATCAACTCGAGACTAGTTTTGAAACTTTATTTAAACAATGGCCAAAGTTATGGAAAAGTGTTTTTTTAACTCGCGTAAAAAAACTATTATTCATAGCGTAAAGAGGTTTATACAAAAAAGGTAGGTATTAAATAAACCTTTAAAATGAGACAAGTCCAATTAAATTCGGATAATTTGTTTATGCGCAAGAGCTCAAAAATGGTCGAAAATGGCCGTTTTTTTCAATTGCTAATAATTAGTGCAATTTTCATTGTAGACACTTGTAATTCAGGATTTTTGAGGCTTTTTACACCCTTAATAAGTGGTAAAAATTTCAGCCCGAAAGCTTCATTGGTTTGGCGTTGGCGGAATTTGTTATCTAAGAAGATGCTATTTTCAATTCATTTTTCCCAAGCTCACAGGCGTTGTAGAGTTTCGATCATTAGTTGTTTTTGTACCTAAATAGTTGTATTGACATATGCATTTACTGAGAATTTAGTTTTTCAAATTAGATTTGTTTAAAAATGACTTTTAAAAAATGTTAATATTTATTAAATTGTTAAGATAGGTAATTATTATAAAATAAAATAGTAACTTGTATACTTTAGGTTTCTTCGAATTTAAAAAAAAAATCGTTGTTGTAAGTTGATTAGAAGCTGAGATATTTTTTTTTTATTATTTAATCGCAGTGACCTTAATTATTAATATTAAAAGCCGAAATTTGGAGAGATTATACATTAAGAGCTATATTTTCATGTCCTACATTAACATTAAGGTGAATTCAACTATTTAATTGCGAAAAAGAAGATAGCGGCGATGTGTTCTATTACTTGGTCTAGCGAACGAGTGCGGAGAGGGAGGCGGAGCATGCGCGCTTAACAATTTAATAAATATTAACATTTTTTCAATGTCATTTTTAAACAAATTAAATTTGAAAAATTAAATTATCAGTAAATGCACGTGTCAATAAAACTATTTAGGTACAAAAACAACTAATGATTGAACCCTACAACGCTTGTGAGCTTGGGAAAAATGAATTGAAAATAGCATCTTCTTAGATAATAAATTCCGCCAACGCCAAGCTAATGAAGCTTTTGGGATGAAATTTTTACCACTTATTAAGGATCTAAAAAGCCTCAAAAATCCTGAATTACAAGTGTCTGCGATGAAAATTGCATTAATTATTAGCAATTGAAAAGAGCGGACAATTTCGACCATTTTTGAGCTCTTGCGCATAATCAAATTATCGGAGTTTAATCGGACTTGTCTTATTTTACAGATTTATTTAATACCTACCTTTTTTGTATAAACCTTTTTTCTCTATGAATAACAGTTTTTTTACGCGAGTCAAATAACCACTTTTCCATAATTTTGACCATTGTTTTAACAAAGTTTTCCAACTAGTCTCGAGTTGATTTTTTCATATTTTGTTTATAACACGTTTCGGAACAATATTCCGCAGAGAAACTTCTAATGCTATAATGACTGGCCTATGATGATATCAGAAGTATATAAATAAAAGTTAAAAAAACTAATAATATCCTTAATCAAATGAAACTTTATTTATTTTGTATCTTCTTATGCCTTCTTTGTAACTTATCACCTCAAATAAATAAACAATGAACAGTTCTTAGAGCTTTTATTTGTTAATATTATCTCTCTCGGGAGTGTTATCAACATTCATATAAGTATAAATTATTAGAAATTTCATATTTTTGTAGTGTTAGATTTACAAAATTTATAATTATTCTTCTGGAAATTTTAGATTTGTCCCTTTCAATTTTTCATCCATCAATTCATTGAATTCTCTTTCGATTTCTTCATCGAACAGTTCTTTCCAACCTCCTGGTCTTCCCCGTCGGATGAAGAGGTTGGTGTCCTTAGCTAGTCCCAACTTGACCATTTGAGTACAATTTACAGACTTATTGTTTTTGAATTTCTCAATGCTAAGGTAATCTTTCAAACCGTCTATCTGATCGTCCGACAACTTTTTACCAAGGAATTCGGCTATCTTCTGAATTGTCTGCCGTTTATCCTGAAGCGTACAATGAAAATCAAGATTATTACTCAATGCTGTACCATTAATATTTACCCTGACAGTGTCTTCATAGAATAAAAATAGAAAATTTTTGTCGTTTCGTCTCTCCCAAGCTTCTAAGACTTGTTCGAAGAATGGGCAGTACATCCCTAAAAACAATTAATAAGACTATGTTTCAAAATATATACAGGGTATCCCTAAAATGTCGATTTAGCTAAATAGTCCAGTCAAAATAGACATTTCAAATAACGAAAATTCCGACAGAGCTAGTTTTTAGTAGAGACTTTGGGTACACCATTGGAAATAAAGTGTCAAAAGTCCCCATCGATCCGATCTGTGCTAAAAAAGTTATTCGGGGTCAAAGGTCAAAATTTGAGGTTTTTTGGATTCTTTTCGAAAACGGTAAGATTTATCAAAAAAGTAGTAGTAGTTTTTTGATAGAACTTACCGTTTTCAAAAAAAATCCAAAAAAACCTCAAATTTTAACTTTTGACCCCAAATAACTTTTTTAGCATACATGGGAACGATGGGGACTTTTGACACTTTATTTCTAATGGTGTACCCAAGGTCTCCACCAAAATTTAGCTCTGTCGGAATTTTCGTTATTTGACCACTATTTTTATGACTAATTTGACCGGACTAAAACCTACGAAGTTGTTCCGTTTGGACGTATACGGCCCTGAAGTCGCAATTTTGATATCGTTTTTTTCTATAAATTTATGCGATTTTGTTAAAATATGGTAAATTGACACCGCTGTATACAATAAACCCCATATCAAAATTATGAGTAATATCAATCCGTTGGCGTAGAACTTGGGTTTTTTAGTAATTACACTTTCCATAATTCTACGCCAATGGAAGGAAATAATTTTAAGTATAAAATTTAAAGTAAATTATTTACTACAAGAAAGATACTCTTGATAAGACTCGATTACTCTCATGGTTTACTCGAAATTTGTAATTTTGACACAAAAATTAAATTAGGAAAAAATTATTTACAATTGTCCCTGATATTCTTTAAATAATAATGAGACTTTTTTTAAAACGCTTATTTGTTTCGGCGTATTGCATATAGTTTTTATGTATTAGTCTTTTTGGTATACGTTTTTTTTTCACAAGTTTCCAGGTACTTGCCTTTACACAAATAATTTTGATTGTTGGTTGTCCTTAATTTCAAGTAAATAAATCTTGTCACATTTGTGACGTTCCTGTAAATTGACCACTACGTTCTTCCGATTTAAATCCATTGGATTATTTTTTATGTGGTCATCTTAAGTCCGTGGTTTACATAACATCGAAGAGCAACTATTTCTTGATTCTTACCTAAATCGTTTTTAAAGTCATCGAACCAGTTTTTAATATTAGGTTTTGGCCCTCGATCGGATTGAAAGAAACGAATCACATGTATTATCGATACCAGAACGTCTTTTGGATTTCTAGCACAGTAGATGACCTGAAATAATAACATATTGTAATTTTAGTCCATCAAGTTAAAGATGTGTATACTTTGGCGCCAACTTCAAAAATATGCGGAGGCATTAGACTAATCGGTAGATGGCATTTAAGGAATCTTCTGCCTTTTCTCTGCGACAAGCCATCCACAGATAGTTCGAGATATTTTCGAGCAATATCCAAAGCTTCTTCGTCCACGTCTTTCTTCTCTAATATTTCCTTCATTTGTGGTAAACGGGAGAAAAGACTAAAACTGAGGAAAAATGGATGCTTTATTAGTGTATCGTGATTTAATTAACTAGAATCTGATTTGCCCCAACTTCACTTACTCTAGATGTGGAAACCTATGCGATATATAACTTTTTGCGGCTTCCTCGTAATCCAGGTCATTTGCTATTTGCCAGACCATTTCGCTATGAAGCGTGGTACCTGTTATGAACATATAGTATTTTTTAGACAAAACGTGTACGTAAGCAAGATCTAAATTAGAAAAAGGTAAAACTAGGTACCTGATCTTGGATATCCAACCACGTAGACGTCATCTGGCCTAGCTTCAAAATTGTAAACATCTAGTCCATATTCTTTATAGCAAGCAGGTTGTAAATACCTTTTGGGACCGACGAAAACAAAACCATTTGGGCCGTCTGTAACCAAGGATACATTAATTTGTTATATAGTGTTTCAAAACGTTGCCACCTACATTCCCATATCTATACCCTACTGATTTTTTTTATATTTACAACCGTTACGGAAAAAATCATATGCAATATAAAATACGGACGCTCTTGGCTATTGATTATAGGATTTTAAAAGGAACTATGACGAAGATATTTTATTACATAAATCGTTCAATGGGTCATTTTGCATGAAAAAACCGTGAAGTGCTATTAAATTAGAGGGTGGCAATTGGAGATAGGGGTGAAAATGCACCCCTTTCAGTTTTTTAATTGTAACTCGAAGACGAAGCAAAATTTCGCAATAAACAGGTGCAAAAAAACTATCAAACCTTCAAGGTTTTAGGTACCGAAATCTACGAAAATACTAACTTTTTTATATACAACTCCACATGTAAATATTCTTATAACATTTACTTGCTTAGTCCTACATATAAAATTGTTTTCTTTTATATATAAGTACCTACGTGAAAATAATTCTTAAAATGTGGGGTTAGGATAACAGTAAACGCATGTTTTACAAACGCTTTTTTTTAGTTATTATTTTATTTTGAGTAAATTTAAATAGTAACAATGGATAAACAGAACATAAAGGATTTTATTTTTGTGCCTACTTTTGTTCTACACGTTTTACTTTTCGAGATTTCAGCACCTAAAAACGCCAGAAATTTGACTATTTCTCAGCCAGGGATATGGCCACCTTAAATACCGAAAATTACTTTTAATCCAAAACAAGCTTTAAGAAATTTACGATATTTTACATGTCATTAATTTTAAGAGTTTACTTACAAACGTTCACCTTAGGTTTTTCATCTTCTTTGGGATCCACGACCTCAAATGGTAATTTCTTAAAAATCTTACGCCCAGTCATCAGACAACTAGCCATAGTTCTTACCCACCTATCTTTGTTTTGTACGCATGTATTTGTTATTATATGGAGGCACCTGATGTTTTAGTTATCTGATGAAGGCAGGTTTTACTTAATTTGCATAAGGATTATAAAAGTTGTAACGGCCACTGTCTACACAACATTATCACAGTTTCTAAATATATACATATAAAACCATTATTTTGTTTTAACAAATAGTTTGGTGTGATTGTAGATACTAATGTTAACCTTATAGTTATACACACATTCCTTTTTATCTGTATAGTGTTGAATTATTGATTATACTGTACAGGTCAGTACTTCAATTTTTAACATTATTATGATATACAGGATGTTTTGCATAAGAACCCCTAGCGTGTAGGGGAACCCAGAATATGGTAACGCAACTTAAGGAGGTATATCGGGTTTACTCAAATGCACATATGTAGTTGAAATGTATATGCCAGTGCTCCCTCTTTGCGTCATATTTATTTGAAATTTTTTTTGAATCTAGATTTTGAGATATTGTTATTGAAAGTTTACTAAAATAGAGATGAAAAACACGAACAGTGAGTAATAATGTAATTTCTATCACAGAACCTCCAAAATTGCATCCAACATTTTCTTTGACTTGGACGAGAGATGGACGCGAGTGTCATTTCATTTCTTTAGAACTAAATTAACATAATTCTCGTTGTTTTACCAGTTCACATGATTTACGGGTTTTAAATAAAGGATACAAATCTTCGCGGGGATAATACGATATATTTGCTATACAGGGTGTTTTTGAATGGAGTAGCATAAATGATACCAGTGAATCTACATTTCAAAGGAACACGATTTGCAAAAAATCGCCTTAGTAAAATGTTCACCCCTGAAGAGATATGGGCCATCAAAGTTTCCAAAAAAATTATGAAAATTGGCTGTAATTTGAAAACCGAACGAGGTACAAATAACAAATTTTTTACAGGTTGTTTACTAATACAGATGCGAGTTTTCAACTATTTTTCGAAAATTTTAACCCCTCGAAAGGGGTTGAAATAACCACCC